ACTAGATGATCTTCAGAGGTCCCTTCCAACTTGACTGTTAAGTGTAAGGTAGAAAATAAGCAGAAATAACCAGTGGCACTAATGTGTCAGAAGAACTATCTGGTTAGATTATGATTTAAAATAGAAATCTTTATCAGAATTACATATATTTAACTGGGGAGACAAGTGCTTAAAACCGGAGAGAGTATTCCAAATGTGGTCCAAGAAGTGGATAATCACTATGCCCAGTCTACTGACTCCTAATGCAGCCCAGAATACTGTTGGTGTTCTTTGCTGCTGGGGCCCACGGCTGGCTCGTGTCTAGCTGGCTGTTCGCCAGGACCCCTTAACCATTGAACTGCTCTCCAGACAGCCACGGAATTGCCCAGATTTGAAGAGACATTTAAGATCATCGAGTGCAACCATTAACCTAACACTGACAAGTCCACCACCAAACCATGTCCATAAGCACCATGTCTACATGACTCTTAAATAGCTCCTGGGAAGGGAACTCCACCACTGCCCTGGGCAGGATGTTCCAGTGTCTGACAACCTTTTCAGTAAAGAGATTTTTCCTAATATCCAATGTAAACCTCCCCATTTCCTCTTGTCTTATCATTTGTTACTTGGTTGAACAGATCAATTCCCATCTCTCTACAACCTCCTTTACACTAGTCATAGAGAGTAATAAGGTCTCCCCTGAGCCGCCCTTTCTCCAGGCTGAACAACCCCAGTTCCCTCAGCTGCTCTTCTTCACACTTGTGCTCTAGATCCTTCCCCAGCTTTGTTGCCCTTCTCTGGGCACACTTACGTGCCTCAATGTCCTTCTTGTGCGGGGCCCAAAAATGAACATAGTATCTGAGACACCACCTCACCAGTGCCAAGTACAGGGGGACAATCACATTCCTGGTCCTACTGGCTACACCATTCCTGATACAGGCCAGGATGCCGTTGGCCTTCTTGGCCACCTGGGCACACTGCTGGCTCATATTCAGCTAGCTATCAATCAACACTCCCAACACCCCCAGGTGCCTCTCTGCTGGGCAGCATTCCAGCCTCTCCTCCCTGAGCCTGCAGCACTGCCAGGGCTTACTGTGGTCAAAGTGCAGAACACAGCATTTGTCCTTATTGAAACTCATACAATCAGTCTTGCAGCACTTCACGTTTGTGCTAGCTGAACTTCCTCAGGTTCCTGTTGGGTCATTCCTCCAGCTAGTTTAGTTCCCTCTGGATGGCACCCCCATGTGGACTGTGTCAACTGGTTCCTCCCTTCCCACTCAAGTTTGGCGTAATCTGGGAATCTGATGTGAGTTGCACTCTTGCCTCCTCCAGGTCATTTATAAAGATGATAAACAGAACTGCTCTAAGTACAGGGCCCTGTGATACCTCCTTGTTACCAGCCTCCAGGTAGAGCACGACTCACTAACCTTTGAGCCCAACTGTCCTAACTTGGACACAATAATACTGTGAGAAATGGTGTTGGCAGCACTACTAAATTCATCAGGCCCTGCCCTCACCCACAAAACTAGTCCTTTTACCAGAAGCAAATCAACCTGGTCAGGCATGATGTATTCTTGGAACAAAAAAACCAAGCTGGTCACAGTCACTAAGAGCTACCTTCTTAGAACATAAAGCAGAATGCAGCTAACTGAAATAAGAAAAAAGCCCTTTGCCTCTACTTGGCAATAGTAAAGCTTCCAATACAGATACATGAGACAAAAAAGATCTAGACTAAAGTACCGTTGCTGACTACAAAGGAAAATTGCTTTCCAGAACAGGCTAAGATCACATAGGCAGAACAGTGGGAAGGACCATATTACAGCATCTACTAATAGGGCGAAGATTGTTGCCCAGACAGAAAAGAAAATTCTCTTCTCCATTAGTATTACGGACAGCATAAGTGATAAAGGCAAAAAATTGTACTGGAAAAGACTAAAACCAATTTTTAATGGCAAAAACAGTATAACACTAAATGTCATGAGAGGTGAATTATTATTACACATCTGGAGCCTAAATAAACATCTGCCAAAACCACAGTTGATTTGATCATGTTGGATCAACAGAATAGACATATGACCTGAGTTTTATGATATTCATTAAAAAATAAGTTAAAATTCAAAATGTTCTAGTAATCACTTTCAGAATTTTAGAAAAGTGCTATTAAAAAAAAAGCTGATTCCTTCACAGAAATATTTTTTCAAATAAACTCCAAAATCCCAGTTAACTTGTAAACAGAGACATATATGTTAAGTCATCAGAACTTACAGTAAACAAAAACTGCTTAGTTCACATTTCACTAGACCACTCCAAGATTTTTAACATATAAACATAAAGTTATTTAAGAGATTCACTACAAAAAAACCAAAACCAAAACAACTTATGTATTAATGCCTAAGTGAAGTGAGTTTTCTCTGGAATAGCTTACCAATAGGAGTGAATAAAGACCGCTCTTTCCAGGGCCTACCCACTAGGGCTACACCCCAGTCCTTTCCATTTCCATTAGGATCTCCAGTGTCCTGGCCCCAAGCCGATGTCTCAGTCTTCCTCTTCCCAGATGCAGCTGAAGGAACAGATGTCCATTTCTCCTCACCAACACCAATCTGTGAGGAGATTTTTACAGACTTCTCATTCCAACTTCCTCCATTTACTGTATGGCTTTCAGTCAATCCTGGGGAAACTTAAATGCAAACATAACGAAAACATTATTTAAAAGAGTAACTGGATGAAGAATTAAAATATTACTTATGTGCACATATGCTTAAAAACATACAAATGAACAGCAGCTCTGCTAACACCAGTGAGATACAGAAAAGGTGCTGCTCTGTCTCAGCTGATTTTCCAGTTCAGATGACACGCACCATCTGTCTACTAACAATCCCAAACCGCATTCTCCTTCCTTCAGCCATTTCTTTATAGGGCTGATACCTTGGTGAATCAGTGCCTCTAGACTTAAAAAAAGGCATGGAGGTGCTTCCAACACAGACAAGTAATTTCTCTTACAGAGTATGGTGATGATTCGTGCAAAACCTCATGCATGAAATGGAGAATAATTTCTGTTTCCTAACTGCATATAGCAGTTCTCTGCGTAGGAAGTAGAAGAAATGACCAAGGATTAGAAAACGCTTCCCAAACACTACAGAGGATTTACAAAGAGCATAACTATCATATTGACCATAGTGTCCATCAAGGTAAGAGGAAAAAAATCACGGTAATACTCTCAAAATAATTTATAAGCAATATATTTTACACAATACTAAGGTAAACAGCCACAAGACTGCAACACTCTATCCAGATGAGAAATAACGAGTAATAGCAAGTTTAATGTGTACTTTGAGAGGAGTCAGTAGTAGTACACTGCGACATAAAGATCACTATAAATCTTGAGGTTTTTTAAGTTTATGTCCCTATAAGACATAAAGACTAATGGTTACCTGTTGTACCCAGTCTGATCTCCTACATATCACAAACTTTTCTCAGAGGGCTCTGTATATGAAATCATCTCCCTCTTTATATAGGTAAACAATGGAAAAGCTACTGATTTACAAGCAATTAGGAAATAATTGCATTTTGTGTGTAACACTTAGTCAGCCAAAACCAGATACGCAAGTTGGTCAGCATTATATGCTAACAAAAACTACAGACCAAGTATTGTATTCATCAAATGAACTCATAGCTCAGGCAGCATGAACATGCCACATCCAAGGAGATCTCACTGGGAAGGAACTGATGAAGCAAGGTATGTCTAGATTTTCAAATACGATTCACTTCCAAACAGACATATGTAACACCGTCGCTGTACCTAAAACCACTGCCCTTTCTCCCCACTACTAACACTGCTCTTGTCTTCTGGGAGTAATATAACATATTAGTGGAAGGCAATAACAAAAACAAAGAGACAGAGAACAGACTGTAGGGTGTAGAAAAAAACCCCTCTTTTGCAACCTTGCGAAGAGACCACTGAAGTCCTGAAGCAGGAGCTTGATTATTCAGTGTTTATCACACTACTGTCTGTCAAAACATTTACCTTCTAGATAACCAGTAAGTTTTTACAGAATCATAGAAAACTTAAGATTGGAAGTGATCTCTAGAAGCCACCTTCTCCCATCTTCTGCTCAAAGCTCAGCCAACATCCATACCACACCACATTATTCGAGTTCTGGAAATCATAAAGACTGATAGTTCACAGCATCTCTGGGCAATCTATAAAGAGCTTTTTCCTCATGGTCAGTCAGAATTTCCCTCAGTGAAACCTGACTACTGCCTTCTGTCCTCCCATTATGTATCTCTGAAGAATATAGCTCCTTCCTTCTGTGCCACAGTTCAGGAAGTTTGCATGCGAAGTAAAACTCTCAAATAGCAGAAAGTGATTTCATTATGACACACCAATTCACTTCCTGTATTACTGTAGCAGTATCTTGTGAGAAAACTGCTAACAGTCACTAGCTGGTCACAGTCTCAAAATAGATAAACATTTTAACAATTACATGTATGACAATGTCACATATATTTATTTATGAACATACACTTATATTTAAGTGTTTTCAGAATGAATTTATTTAAAGTATGCCTCTCAAAGGAGCATGTAAAGAACTGCGTATACAACTTGAAACAAATGCACACTGTAGTAATCAGGACTGCTATCTTTGAGCTCTTTGCAGTTATCTAGATTAAGTTTTTATTTGAGCAAATAATCCATTAACACAAAAAAGTGAGTACATTTGAACAGCTAGCATAAAGAATTTTAAGTGGAGCTTGAGAATAAGCTTTATTCTGTAAGTAACAATTCATGTAACAGATAATGCATCTGAAAATTATAGATACTGAATCCTTTTTCTATCCACAACAGAGACTGTTTTCAGCCTGTTAAGAAGTAATTGCAACTTCAAACATTTGCATAGACAAAAAAAGCTAGCTGCTCCAGATTAGTAACTGGCACAAAATCCTGCACAGGCAATTTGTGTTTTCAGTTCTGTAAAACAATTTTCTAGTTACTTAAGATGCTTAATAATGAAAGATGTTTACCTTGTGGAATTGATGGCTCCCCCTTTGCAGGTTTAGAGCTGCTTACTTGTGCATTCAGAAGTGTATCACCTGATTAAGAAGCAAGAGGAGACAGAACTAGAGTAAATTTTTTCAAACAGCAACACCTGTAAAAATCTCCTAGAGCAGCACCCATTACTGATATTTTAAGAAGAAAAAAAACACAACACATCAGTAACTCAAAGTAATTTCCAGAAAACTTAAGAATAAAACTGAAATGCTTTATTTTTTTATTATTTGTGTTTATTTTGCAGACAGAATTAACTCAAAACTGATTTAGAGTAAGTAACCACAAATTTCAGAGACCTCTAGTTAGCTTCCCTGAGAACGGAGAGCAGAAATCTAAAACAGAGGCTGTCATTTTCAAGCCAAGGGCAGCTCCAAGTATTTCAGAAATATCTAGCTATTTTGAACTTCTACCTTACCATGAAAATGCTAGATATAGCTGAATTCTTTTCATATTAGTCTGGTACAAGGTGATACATAAGATACATATGATGCATAAAGGACTGGCTAGAGAGATTACAATAGTTAAGACTAGCCACAGAGTACACAGACAGTCAGAACTACCATTTCTTAAAGTTGTTTGTGTGCAAATGATCAGGAAAAAAAAACATAACAGGAAATGATTTAGTCCTCAAGTGCAAGAATCATGCACTCAGTCAAGATGCACACAAGTGTCAATAAAAACACCACGTAAGGCATGCAAATTTCATTATACTGTTACAAGCTACCAGGCAGCTGCTAGGCTCTGTCTTTCTGTCACTTTGCTAGAACACCAAATTTCACTTAACTAAAGCATCAAAAGCATCAGTAGGTTAAAAGTACATTAGAAAACTAACCCATTTTTGTCTTCAGATTCTTTTAGCTTCTTAAAGCATTTATCAGTTGCAGATAAATATGAATTCCTGTGCCCAGACACAGTTTAAACGAGCCCATGCAACTTTATTTGGAAACACTAGCAGGCATAGAAGCTAAAGCCCACACTTCTCATTGAATCCTTAGTTATAAAAATTAATTACTAAATTTCAGTCAGATGAACAGCTTTTGCACAGGTACTACTAAGTCTATGTCAGAAAAAATGTCTACACATTAAGCAGTGAGTGATCTGTAAAGAGAACTCAAGGGCATAACCTCCCCACAAGAAAGCATTCAAAAAGTTCAGGAGTTGGTGCTGCCTGCAGCACTGCTGAGGGTTCCTTTGAAGTTTCCAGAAACACAAAGTGCAGAGTCAGCAGAGCACAAGGGGAGGAATGGGGACATATGCCTGTGCAGCTACTGACAGGGCACCAGTTTGGAGGCCAGTCTCTCAGCCACTTACTCCAGATTGTTCTCTCCTGAGCTTCCCCAAAAGTGTGGCTCAAAAAAAAAAAAAAAAAAAAAAAGGACAGTTCTCCACAATAAAAAAAAGTACCTTTACACAGCTTGAAATAATTTCAGGAGTTACATTTCCAAATATACTTATCATACATCCACAACAGTCACTATTGAAGCATTGGGTAAAGTTTCTAGAATGCTGACAGACCTATCAACCATCATACCTTTATTTTTTCTGAGACCAACTGGAAGTGATGGTGTAGGCATCAGTTGTTCAATGGATACAGTAACTGCATTTTCCACCCCCTGGAGATTTGACTCTCCTGAGGCACCGTCTGTCAGCACTTTGTCTCGTTTACGCTGCTGTCGCTTCTCTCTGTTACTGATTTTAGTTTCCCAGGTTCCTAAAACATCCCCAAAATGAAAACATCACTAGATAAGTCAGAGAGCAAAAAGAAAACAGTTTTGGTTTTTTTCATAATAAGCTGAAGTCGAAGTACAGGTTTGATTTCAAAATCACATACATGGCAATCAACTTCAACATCAGTTTGGAGACATGAACAACTGGCCCAAGGTAAGTTTTTCTGGACGCAACGCAATAAAACTTTGCTTCACAGAGCAAAATATGAACAAGAGAGCCATACTGTTCATGATTTTTTCTCAGCCTTTGGTAAGTTTAACAAAAAAAAAAAAAAATCAGTCGAAGTTAAATAATGTTTCAAAGATCAGATTTCCAGATATAGTATATGCAACTATGGAGTTAGTTATGACAAAATGAGTTTCTGATGTTTCTTTACGGAGCACAAACAAGTAAATACGTAATACCATTTAAGCCAAAACATGTCTAATTGAATTTCTTGTATTTGCATTCAGTACCTTCATCAACTTCCTTTCCATCTAGACGTGACATATCCTGAACCGTTTTAGCATCTCCCTTGGATTTCTTTTTTTTCTTTGACTAGAATAAAAATAAAACATAATCTTAATTACTTTGTAATCGCTCATCATAATATTTAGAATCTTTCCCCCACCAGCCCTCAAAATACAGGAGTAAATTTGAAATGGATTTTCCTGAACAACCCTCTGTATGGACAGTCCCTTGAAAGGAGTACTAAACCATTCTAATTGCTAAATATAAGTTAAGAGTATTGAAGTATCATGAAAGACTTACACAGTAGACAAATGGTAGGTGGGGGGAACATTTACTTATGCTACAGAGCACAAAGCCTGGGGGAAGAATCTATGCTGGTGGCATCACAGTAAGGAATGAACTGTTTGGCTAGCAGATTTGACTCCAGCAAAATTTGTTTTGTAGAGAAGCAAGTATAAAGTTACACATGGAGAAATAAATAAAAGATAGATAGATAGATAGATAAATAAATAAATAAGGAAGCCGTAGGTAAGAGAATTCCAGCTTGGAAAACAACTTCAAAACAGGACCGGTGATTAGAGTCCATACAACAGATATGTAGTGTTTTTTTTCCCCAGGGTTTCACCAGTTGTGGCTTCCTGGCTATATGTGCAGAGATAAACGAAGAGGAACAGAGATTGCTACTTCTGCAAGCTGTTTTTGGTACAACGGGTAGAAATACAAAGTGTTAAACATATAATATGGAGGAAAAAAAGAGACGTAAAATGACCCAAGACACCAGGAGAGAGCATACTGCAGAAAGCCTTGTATTGTAATTTTTTGATAAGCTAAAGTCATGGCAAATTGACTTGACTATGTTCTTAGAAAGAAAATACAGCACTGAAAAACTTTCCAATCTGGTGACGAAAGATATAAGCACTACCAGATAGACTTGAATAAATAAAAAAACTCAAACAAAACAGACTTTTTAAAGAAAGATGGTTATCCACTCAAAAGTTGTAAGAGGAGCTACTCATTGATTCGATGTATCCGGACCATTCAAACAAGGATATTCTAAGAATGCTGGATATCTTTCTGGAATACATGCTTCTACCAGAGTAAGACTAGTAATTGCCAGCTCTGCAACTGAGTTCAAACGATACGATTTTCTAGTCTTACATGTTCAAGAAGAGTATAACAATCTCTCCAGAATTCATAATCAGTAACAGCTAAATTATCACCACAGCTACAGCAGATATCCGATGGGCCCACAACAGCATGCAGTTCACATATCTTTGAGTTAGCATACCCCAAAAATAGCAGGTAGCTTCAATACAGATACAGAGAGCAATACAGCTTGTTAGTGCAAAACCAAAGATAACAAAAATTTCTTTGCATATCTGCAATGCTGCACCAGCACACTTAGGAAAACAACAGTTAACTTGTGGTTTATTACACCAGGGAACCCACAACAGGGATACACTCAAACGAAATCATGTCACTGATTTGATCAGTAGACTACCTTTACGTACGTATCAGCTATCTAACTTCTGAAAAGTCTCCTAAAGACATAGGCCACTTTCAAAAGCAACCCTAGAAAAATTGTTTCTAAGAATAAGAACATGCCAAATTATTTGCCAGGGCACCTTCTAGGTGAAGAATTGAAAAGGAAAAACAGCATGAAAAACAGTTATGAATTGCCTTTTGGAGCTCAAGCAGAAGAAAGATTAGTAGGCTTGTACCCGTTTTAATAAGCTTGTATCCCATTTTAAGCTACATTGAGAATGGAAGTTGAATCTACCAGTCAAAGCCATAACTATCCAACTGTCCTCTGGTGCTAAAACCACATGAAATTACTTCAAAAGTCTCTCAGATAGCAGTTTAAGATGACTGCTGCTCCAAGTTCTAAGTCCAGTTTCTTAAATAACTACCTCCTACACAGGTATCGACATCAAATTTTACACTTCTCATGAAAATGTCAAAGATTAACAGTTTTAAAAGTGTGTATCACTAGCAAACAGTTTTTAAAAAGATCAAGAATTCAAATCTTGAAAATATATTTACTTTCCTAACCTGTGTTAATAGAAACTGATCTGAAAAAACAGAACTATAATTAGTTATTCCATTTACTCACCACCTGCCAAACTCAGTGCTGTAACAGTCACCATCTTGTTAACAAACTGACTGAAACAGCAAGAGATGTTAAAGGTTACTGAGCAAGCTATCAGGTCATTTTGCAGAAGCCTATTCATTCAAAGTGTTACCTTCTCCAACACAGAAAGCTGCCAGTGTTGTCCCTGCCACCAGCCAAAGAGCACATGGAACTCAGCAGGCCTGCCAAAATTTTTTAAGTCTTTAAGATGCACTGCCTCCCATGTAAGAATACCAGAAAAATAAACCTTTCTTCCTCATGCCTAATGGTCTGTTTATTTCTATTATTCAAGAAGAGGCAGTTGTGTATTTGGAAACAGAACAGGCAATGCAGTTTTTAACATCCTGCAATCCCCTCCAGAGTCACTTCTTAGACACAGTCCCTTACACTAAAACTTAAAAAACCCAACAAACCAACACTGTACTGTACGAGTCACTAAAATGGAAAAAAGGGAAGAAACTATTCAGGGTCAAGAGAATCATAAACCCTATGAACAGCCAAAATCCAGACATTACTGAAAGCTTCCTCTACCTCAAAGCAGAACAAGAGGATAGAACTTAAACCACCATCCTGAAAAAAACATGCATGAAATTCACAACTCTGAAGCAGCAAAGAAATACAGAAACACGAAGGGAGTGTTACTTGCATTGAAAGCCTATATTCAAGCCCCCCCCCCCCCAAATTATACCCTTCAGGTCACAGATTATATATATATCTACACATATGCCCACGCTGCTTAAATCCCACCCATTGAATTACACCACCCACACCAAGCTAGACAAAGACAGATACATAGGACCCTTTACAATCTTCTTAGCAGGTTCATAATGTTACAAATGTAACAGACGCTCTGAGCAGCTTCAGCAAAGAATGACATGCCTGAAAAGTTACCTGCTGTTTACAAAAAATTCTTGGGTTTGTCTTTAATTGACGGTAACAACCAACTCCTGAGGCAATCATACTTTGCCCAGGGTTTCCCAAAGTGATATAAAAACATACTTAGTTGAATAAGCACCCAAATCCATATAGTGGAGTAAGGATTTCCTGAAGCTGCAACTTCAACTTAACATTTTAAATCGAGATCACTGTGTTTGCAATTTTAGGGTAAAGCCTGAGTTTAGCATTTAAACACCTTACCTACTTGGAAATCTACCTGAGATAAAGTAAAGGTTGAGAAGATGAAATTTCATTATGTTCTTCAAAAAAATATCACAAAGTCAATCTTACACACAACATATCGAGAAAAAAAAATGTGCAAAATGAAATTTTAAGGCAAACTCATTTCATATGAAAGTCTTTCTATTCACCAACGGTAAAAACACTTAGAGCTCTATAGCCAACTAACAGGATGCAGTCTTTAAGCCAACATACTAACTGCAAAAGAAACTATTATAGGATAGTGAAATAAATTAAAGCTTGAACGAACTAAACAAATTACAATAATCAACTACTGGTTTCTAACTGCTTGTGCATAATCATTTATTTTTCCAACATTCCTCATATAGTTAGAACAAATGCATTTTTTTGAAGAAAATAAATCAGAAATAAACAGTAGGAAAATTTCATGTACAACATTAGCAAAAGAATCAAGCCAAAAATTACCAACAACAGCCTATTAAATATATCCATGTTGCCTACATAGGATAGCATTTATGAAAAGGCTAGAAGATATTAGTCCTCACAGTGCAAAAAATAACTTTCCCATTAATACGGTTACCTTTCAGATGAAGTTAGAGACCAAGCTTTGAAAAGATGTTTTTAATGTAGCTGTTCAATTTGCGTAACAAAAAGCTCACATCAGACTTCAAAGCCCGTATTTGTCATCAGAAATTAAGAACTCTAATCACTAATGGATACATCTGACAAAAGAAATAAGCAGGCACATGGTCTTAATCCTTTGAATAGTAGCCCTCCAATTGTTAAACCATTTACAAGCCACTTAACAATACTATCATTACGTTGCATCTCCACAGAAGCCAGCAAAGACAAAAACACAAACTTAATTTCTGTAGGCTTAACATTTTCAAACGGTGAACGTGGATATCAGTGTTTAGGAGTGGGGGGGGGGCAGGGGTAAAGGGGAGAAGGCGAGTTTGCTTGATGCAAACATTCCCTGATAAAGCACAATCTCGAAAGTTAAGAGAAAACTAGTTTAGCTCTTTCCAACACCATATTAGATTAGGAATCTTCACAGCAAGAAATATGCCTCTTCACTCATGTAAGAAACAGGATTTCGAATCAGAAACAAAGCTACTAGATATTGAAACAACACATGCATCACTTGCACATTGTCATTTCATATCCATAACTGACCTTTTCATTCTTCTTTTCTGTGTCCACAGGCTGCTTTATATTTTCTTTACGGACAGTTTGAATTACTTCGTCCTCAGATACATCAAGGAAAGACCGTCCATTAGGCTGTGTAAACAGTAAGTGTGAATAATAAAAAATCCAGAGAAAGCAGATGAAGCAAAGCTCAAATTATGGTATTACTGAAATGCAACTATCTGTTGACTAAAAACATGCTTGCAAGATTATTAAGTAAAGCAGACAGAATTTTGAAGTGGTTCTCAAAATATGTACTGCAATATTATATTTACCAAACACAGAAACAAGAAAGGAAATAAAAACATGTCTCTTCATCTCATTTCAATCCTATTCAATGCAGGAATTGCTACAATTTCTGAAAGTTACCAGCTTTCAGAACTGCTACGGTTGTATGTGCCATAAATTATCTAATTAAATTAATGTATCTACCAATTTGTAGCAGTTCAAAAGGCCGAATATTTAAAATAATTTCTATCTTGATCAAGTTTCTGCAATTTCTACCTATGCATAGGCCTCACAGCACATTTCCTTCACAAGTTAAACTTTATAGCAGAGCAGAAATTAGAAATCAAACACCAAG